CCGCTCGGGCGCTGCGGGACGGCCGCCGCGGTGCTTCGGGAGGCGCGGGGCGGGCGCCGAGTGCCCTCGGGCTCAGCGAAATGCATTCGCGTTTCTCACCAGTGCTGGAGGGAGACAACTGCGTGTTTGACGGGATGATTTATCGCAACGGGGAGACGTTCCAGCCCAGCTGCAAGTACCAGTGCACCTGCCGAGACGGACAGATCGGCTGCCTGCCCCGCTGCAACCTGGACCTGCTGCTCCCCGGCCCCGACTGTCCTTTCCCCAGAAAAATCGAAGTCCCTGGAGAGTGCTGTGAGAAGTGGATCTGTGACCCTAAAGATGAAGTGATTTTGGGAGGTTTTGCGATGGCTGGTGAGGAAACTAAAACTAATTACTGCAGTCGTTGTGAGGAGGAGGTGATATCATACTGGAAATAGTCATGGGGTTGCCACATTTTAAGACACATTGTTTTGTGAGGTCGGTTTTTTCTGCTCATTTTTATCATCTAGAGTCACTAGTGAGTATACAGTGGTTATGACTAAAGGCAGAGCTCGACGGGTAAAGGGAAAGATACTCAGAGGATGAATGTGCATAGCAGTTTTAAAAGGTAGTTAACTTGAGTTAGTTCCCAGTTCTGAAATTGTTGTTTATCTGGTACAGGGTAGTTCAGTGAGTGGAATAAAACAGTGGCAAGCTCATAATTCTCCAAACATTATTTTCCCCCACAGATCAAAGCTACAGTCTTGCTAGCTGCTCTGAAAGAGTATGTTGCATGATAACTATTATTCTAACAGCTTAGTCTACAAGACATTTTTTTTCCCCTTAAATTTCCCAGCTATTACAAGTGGCCAGCATGGTAGCTAAAATGCCAACAAATTTCTGCCTGTCTGTGCTAGAACTCTTGTCATTATTGTTGTCCTCAAAAGCATTATGAAGTGCCTGGAGAAGCATTGATTACACAGTGAGTGGATCCGAAAAAAAAAAAAAATCCCATTTGAAAATGCAGAACTCATAAATGGCTTTTGTAATTCAAAAATAAAGCTACATAATATTTTCCCCCTATTTTCTTACTGAATTAAGTCAACATCCCCTTTAAATTAAACTATTAGTTCAACATGAATTTTCATAACCTACTTTTACTGAGAGTTGAGAGCACTGAATTCTCTTCCAGTCACTGCTTTTTGTGGACTTAAGCAGTTAGTTATGTTGAAACTTAGTTGATCGATTTGAAAAACAAGGAAGGATCCAGGAAGAAATACTCTAGTAACTTGTTGGAGTGCTATGAAGGTTCAATTGTAAGGCACATAAGGCTTAAAGAAAAAGCTTGCCACCTTTCTACTGTTTTTCCTGTTCTTTGATTTGTTTGACAGTGACAGGCTAATCTGTAAAATGACTACATATAGATTGTCTGCATTCTTTCTAGCAATGGCCATCCCTTTTGGGAGGCCACCTTTTTTTGAGCTTTACCATACAAAAGGCAAAAATGCTGTTGTAGAGGAGCTTAATGGTAAGAGCTGTGGCTAACAGCTCAGTCATGTTACCTCATTCTGTTTACTCTTGCGATAACCACTGAACCAAATTGTACAGTTAACAATATTTGCATAATACAGCTCAACACTGCCATAAGGGCAGGACAATGCTCAGAGTTGGCTATGGCTAGTAGCTGTAATAACTGCTGGAAATTACTTCTTTCCTCCCTCCCCACCTCCACCCTGGCTATAATATATCAATAATTGATAAGATTGGGTGACTTTGTGACTCTGGGAGTAAAGGACTTTACTTCCATGCTGTTTATTAGTTTAGATAAATCATTCAGCCTCTCTCAAATCATATCTAATGTAAATATTTTCATGACGTAGCTTTAGAACAGGTATGTGATGTATTTCCATTGGGAAAAGTGAGGAGTGAAGAGTTATTAGAGTTCTAAATTGGTAAAAAAAATTGGCAATAATTCTTCCAGATGTGGACTTGAGTGAACTGAAGCTGAATGCTTTGATGATTACACTGATATGCACTTTTCTGTTATTTTTAGATGTAGGAAGCTGCCATCCAGGCTCCTAAAAAGGCAGCTTTTAAACATCCTAAATCCTGGCAAAAGCATGGAGTTTGGACCTTTTTTTTTGTCTCGCGTGTTTCTTCCCAGATGTAGTAGAGCTCAGTTAGATACTGGGTTTTCACTGGAGTTTTTCTTATACTAAGGTTCTGTGGGGTTTTCTCTCCAGCGTACAGACAAGAGGCCACACTTGGGATCGATGTGTCAGATTCAAGTGCCAATTGTATCGAGCAGACAACAGAATGGAGTGCTTGTTCCAAAAGCTGTGGAATGGGCTTTTCCACCCGTGTTACCAACAGAAATCAACAGTGTGAGATGGTGAAGCAGACACGGCTTTGTATGATAAGACCTTGTGAAAATGAAGAGCCATCTGATAAGGTATGCTGCAAAGAGTGGCAGGGGAGCAGGATCTCTTCAGCTGTAATTCCAAGGTTGCAGTATTATGGTCTAGAATGCCCCAGATGCAAGTGTACGTAAATATAACTTTTAGCATGTGTGCCACAAGCCCAGTGTTTTTGGAAAGCATCAGGCTTGCTGTGCTTGCTCAGCAGTTTTGTGATGCACCTCCAGCAGGTCAAGGGAGGTGATTCAGCCCCTCTACTCCATTCTGGTGAGACCCCACCTGCAGTGCTGTGTTTAGTTCTGGGGCCCCCAACATAGAAGGACATAGACCTGTTGGAGCAGGTCAGAGGAGGGCTACAAAAATGATCAGAGGGATGGAGCACCTCTCCTATGAAGACAGGCTGAGAGAGTTGGGGTTGTTCAGCCCAGAGAAGGCTCTGGGAAGACCTTATTGCAGTTTTTCAATACTTAGAGGGATTATAAGAAAGATGGGACAAAGTTTTTAGCAGGGCCTGTTGCAATAGGACAAGAAGTAATGGTTTTAAACTACAAGAGGGTAGATTTAGACTAGAACTAAGGAAGAAACTTTTGATGATGAAGGTGGTGAAACACTGAAACAGGTTGCCTGAAGAGGTGATAGGTGCCCAGTCCTTGGAAACCTTCAAGGCCACCTTGGACAGGGCTCTGAGCAACCTGACCTAGTTGAAGATGTCCCTGCTTATTGCAGGGGGTTGGGCTAGATAAACCTTTAAAGGTGCCTTCCAACCCAAACTATTCTGTGATAATTTGAGCCATCCCAAATGGATCAGAGATATTGCATGTACAGACTATTTTGACAGCTCACGCAGTCTGATTTTTTCCACAAATGCAATTGTACTGCCTGTATGTATACTTCAAGGCTGTGTGAAATACTGCAAAACCTGCTTGGGTAAATCAAACTTTATCTTAATTCTTATGATGCTCTTTCCAAAAGCGAATCCAACACAGACACTTCACATGCAATAAATGTGTATCTCAGGAAGCTGACTTCTTTGCTGCTTCTAAACATTATAAAAGTGTTACTGTAAAGGAGAATAACATGTAGCCAGGTAAGAGGACCATCACTTTGTGTAATATTTGGAGTGTTGGAAGGCATTTA